AGCCTCCCAAAGTGCTGGGAATACAGGCATGAGCCCTAGTGCCTGGCCTGAACTCCTTCACTAAAGGCTTACCCGGACCCTCAGGTCCACAAGTTAAGCATTCTTCTTTTCAGCCCATATCATCTCCCTAGGCACTTTTAAACATTCCTTTGGCTTCAATGATCATCTAAAAGTCTATTATTCTCATTTTATCTCTAACCCAGACCTCTCCTCTGAGCTTACAAACCATGTATATGGAACTGCTGCCTCAGTATCTCCCTGTGGATGGCTCACAAGCACTTCTCAGTCTACAAGTCCAAAGCTGAACTTCACTCTAAATCTCTGTCTACATGCTTCATCTCAAAAACAGCACCACCAGACCCCCTACTGCTCTAGCGGATCTCGTATCTGGCACCTCCGTCAATTCCCTTATCCACTGAACCCGTTTACCTTCATAAATGATTCTTCCAAGTTACTCTAAAATCTATGGAAATCCATTTTGTCCATCTCCATTGCTACCTACCAAACCCAAACACCACCTGTCCCTAAACTTTTTTTTTGCTGTTGTTGTTTCGTTTTGTTTTTTTGAGTTGGAGTCTTACTCTGTCACCCAGACTGGAGTGCAGTGGCCGCTCCCAGCCACCGCAGCCTTGACCTGCCGGGCTCCAGTGATCTTTCCACCTCAGCCTTCCAAGTAGCCGGAATTACAAGCATGCGCTACCACGCCTGGCTGATTTTTTGATTTACTGTAGAGATGAGGTCTCGCCAAGTTGCCCAGGTTGGTCCTGAACCCTTGAGCTCAGGCAATCCTCTTGCCTCAGCCTCCCAAAGTGTTGCAATTACAGGCTTGAGCCACCACACTCAGTCCCTAAACCGTTAAAGGGAAATTATTTTCCCTATAGTCACACTCATTTTCCCTATAGTCACTATCATTTCCACTTAGTCTCCATAGAGGAGTCAACATGGTCTTTAAATAAACAAAACACATGACCAGCCCGGGAATGGTGGCTCACGCCTAAAATCTCAGCATTTCGGGAGGCTGAGGTGAGAGAATTGCCTGAGTTCGCAGGTTCAAGACCCGCCTGGGCAACCTGGTGAGACTTCATCTCTACAATAAATCAAAAAATTAGCCGGGCGTGGTGGCACATGCCTGTAGTTCCAGCTAGTTGGAAGGCTGAGGTGGAAGGTCGCGGCTGTGGTGGTCGGGAGCGTGCCACTGCCCTCCAGCTTAGGCACCTGAGAGAGACTCCAACTCAAAAGAAATTTCAAAAATAGAAAAACAAAAAACACATTCAAATCTCTCCATGCCACTTCCATGTCTAAAACCCTCCTAACAGCTTCCCACTGCTCTGCATAAAGCCCCGAATTCCAAACTCAGCCCCCAAAGCCCTGCAAGGTGAACGTCCTCCGGCCTGTCCAGCTCCCTCTGCCAAACTCCAGAGCACAGGCCTTGCAGTTCCTCAGACAACTCAAACTCTTTCCCTCCTCACGGTCTTCAGACACGGTGTTCCCCTACCTCTAAACACACGCCTTCCACATCCTTACCAGCTAAATTCTACACACCCCAATTTGAATGTCACCCTCCTTGACATCTATTCCCCCCCCCAAGGCTAAATTAGGTCCCTTTCTGTATTCTTTTTTTTTTTTTTTTGAGTTGGAGTCTCACTCTGTCACCCAGACTGGAGTGCAGTGGCCCTCCCGGCCACCGCAGCCTCTACCTGCTGGACTCCGGCGATCCTTCTGCCTCAGCCTTCCGAGTAGCCGGAATTACAGGCATGCGCTACCACGCCCGGCTGATTTTTTGATTTATTGTGTAGATGAGCTCTTGTTGCCCAGGCGGGTCTCGAACCCGCGGGTTCAGGCAATCCACTCACCTCAGCCTCCCAAAGGCGCGGGATTACAAGCTGAGCCACCGAGCCCGGCTTTGTACTTTCTAATAAAGCAATTATTTCACCATTAAGGTGACTATGTGTTTAATCTCTGGCGTTTGAATGGTCTATGATCTCCATACAGGCAGAGATCATGACTTTCTTGGGCATCCAAGGCTAAGGAATGAATGTTTGCTACATTAATAACAGTTAACACTTAAACACTCACGATGTCCAGGCACTGTTCAAGCAGTTACACATATCAACAACTCATTTTGTCCTCACAACACTCACTAAAGTAGGGACGTTATGTACCTATTTTAAAGATTAAAAAAACTATACCAGAAAGATGTTATTTCCTCAAGATCACACAGTACGTAGTGGAGCTGGAATCTTACCCACACATATTTTTAACCCCTCCCCTCTGTCCCTCCACATATTGACACTCAAACAGAGTCTGAAACAGAGGCTTACTTTATGAGATGACCCCAAGGGTCTCCTAGCATGTTCTCTAACTTCTTGTCTCCAGCCACCTGCTATCCTATGATTCTTTCTAAAGTACGTTCTTTATCCTGTTAATCTGCTGTCAGTACTAGCAACAGTCCCTGCTACCTATGAAGGTAACTACAACCTCCTTTACTTGGCTTTTAAGCTCCTCCCTAGCAATGACCTCTTCTACCATCAGGCCTGTGTCTCCACTTTATTTACCCCCTCACTCCCAACCCTCATCACAACACTCATATTTAAATATATGAAATTAGGTCATGTGTGGTGGCCCATGTCTACAACCCCAGCACTTTGGGAGGCCAAAGTGAGAGTATTGCCCGAGCTCATGGGTTCAAGACCAGCCCAGACAACTTGGCAAGACTTCATCTCTACAATAAATCAAAAAGTTAGCTGGGCGTGGTTGGTGTGTGTCTGTAGTTCCAGCTACCTGGAAGGCTGAGGCAGAAGGATCACCTGAACCCAGCAGGTCGAGGCTGCAGTAGCCATGAGTGCGTCACTGCACTCCAGCCTGAGCAACAATAGAGTGAGACTTCAATTCAAAAACAAATAAATAAATATATGAATTATGCCCTTACACTTCCTGTTCTCTCTCCAGTTTTATTCTCATTCCGTATCAAATCCTACCTATCATTCAAGATTCTGCTCAAGCCAGGCTCGGTGGCTCAGCCTGTAATCCTGCGCTTTGGGAGGCTGAGGTGAGTGGATTGCCTGAGCCCACGGGTTC